AAGTATCTAAAGAGAGATCCCCAGTGTTTTATTGTTAGGAAATATCTAGAGAGATCCCTTGTGCTTCAATGTCAGGAAGTATCTTGAAAGATTCCTAGTGATTCAATGTTAGGAAGTATCTAAATAATTACCTAGTGTTTCATTGTTAGGAAGTATCTTGAGAGATCTCTTGTGCTTCAATGTTACGAAGTATCCTGAGAGATCCCTAGTGATTCAAGGTTAGGAATTATCCTGAGAGATCCCTTGTGCTTCAATGTTAGGAAGTATTTAGAGAGAACCCTTGTGCTTCAATGTTAGGAAGTATCTTGAGAGATGCCTAGTGATGCAATGTTAGGAAGTATCTAGAGAGATCTCTAGTGTTTCAATGTTAGAAAATATCTAGAGAGATCCCTAGTGCTTCAATGTTAGGAAGAATCTAGAGAGATCCCTAGTGCTTCAATGTTAGGAAGAATCTAGAGAGATCCCTAGTGCTTCAATGTTAGGAAGCATCTAGAGAGATCACTAGTGCTTCAATGTTAGGAAGTCTTTAGAGAGAACCCTTGTGCTTCAATGTTATGAAGTATCTTGAAAGATTCCTAGTGATTCAATGTTAGGCTAGTGTTTCAATGTTAGGAAGTATCCTGAGAGATCCCTATTGATTCAATGTTAGGAAGTATCTCAAGAGAGATCCCTAGTGTTTCATCGTTAGGAAGTATCTAGAGAGATCCCAAGTGATTCAATGTTAGGAAGTATCCTGAGAGATCCCTATTGATTCAATGTTAGGAAGTATCTCAAGAGAGATCCCTAGTGTTTCATTGTTAGGAAGTATCTAGAGAGATCCCTAGTGTTTCAATGTTAGGAAGTATCTAAAGAGATCCCTTGTGCTTCAATGTTAGGAAGTATCTAGAGAGATCCCTAGTGATTCAATGTTAGGAAGTATCTAAATAATTCCCTAGTGTTTCATTGTTAGGAAGTATCTAGGGAGATCCCTAGTGATTCAATGTTAGGAAGTATCTAGAGAGATCCCAAGTGATTCAATGTTAGGAAGTATCTAGAGAGATCCCTAGGGCTTCAATGTTAGGAAGTATCTAGAAAGATCCCTAGTGTTTCAATGTTAGAAAGTATCTTGGGAGATCCCTAGTGATTCAATGTTAGGAAGTATCTAAATAATTCCCTACTGTTTCATTGTTAGGAAGTATCTAGAGACATCCCTAGTGATTCAAGGTTAGGAATTATCTAGAGAGATCCCTTGTGCTTCAATGTTAGGAAGTATTTAGAGAGATCCCTTGTGCTTCAATGTTAGTAAGTATCTTGAGAGATCCCTAGTGATTCAATGTTAGGAAGCATCTAGAGAGATCCCAAGTGATTCAATGCTAGGAAGTATCTAGAGACATCCCTAGTGATTCAAGGTTAGGAACTATCTAGAGAGATTAGTGTTTCAATGTTAGGACGTATTTAGAGAGATACCTTGTGATACAATGTTAGGAAGTATCTTGAGAGATTCCTAGGGATTCAATGTTAGGAAGTTTCTAAATAATTCCCTAGTGTTTCATTGTTAGGAAGTATCTTGCGAGATCTCTTGTGCTTCAATGTTACGAAGTATCCTGAGAGATCCCTAGTGATTCAATGTTAGGAGGATCCTAAATAATCCCTAGTGTTTCATTGTTAGGAAGTATCTTGAGAGATCTCTTGTGCTTCAATGTTACGAAGTATCTTGAGAGATCCCTAATGATTCAAGGTTAGGAACTATCTAGAGAGATCCCTTGTGCTTCAATGTTAGGAAGTATTTAGAGAGATACCTTGTGCTTCAATGTTAGGAAGTATCTTGAGAGATTCCTAGTGATTCAATGTTAGGAAGTATCTTGAGAGATCCCTAGTGATTCAATGTTAGGAATTATCTAAAAGGATCCCTTGTGCTTCAATGTTAGGAAGTATCCTGAGAGATCCCTAGTGACTCAAGGTTAGGAATTATCTTGAGAGATCCCTAGTGTGTCATTGTTAGGAAGTATCTAGAATCCCTAGTGTTTCATTGTTAGGAAGTATCTAGAGAGATCTTTTGTGCTTCAATGTTAGGAAGTATCTTGAGAGATTCCTAGGGATTCAATGTTAGGAAGTATCTTGAGAGATCCCTAGTGATTCAATGTTAGGAATTATCTAAAAGGATCCCTTGTGCTTCAATGTTAGGAAGTATCCTGAGAGATCCCTAGTGACTCAAGGTTAGGAATTATCTTGAGAGATCCCTAGTGTGTCATTGTTAGGAAGTATCTAGAGAGATCTCTTGTGCTTCAATGTTACGAAGTATCCTGAGAGATCCCTAGTGTTTCAATGTTAGGAAGTATCCTGAGAGATCCCTAGTGATTCAAGGTTAGGAATTATCTTGAGAGATCCCTAGTGTGTCATTGTTAGGAAGTATCTAGAGAGATCTCTTGTGCTTCAATGTTACGAAGTATCCTGAGAGATCCCTAGTGTTTCAATGTTAGGAAATATCTAGAGAGTTCCCTAGTGTTTCAATGTTAGGAAGTATCTAAAGAGAGATCCCTAGTGTTTCATTGTTAGGAAGTATCTAGAGAGATCTCTTGTGCTTCAATGTTACGAAGTATCTTGAGAGATCCCTAATGATTCGAGGTTAGGAACTATCTAGAGAGATCCCTTGTGCTTCAATGTTAGGAAGTATCTTGAAAGATTCCTAGTGATTCAATGTTAGGAAGCATCTAGAGAGATCCCAAGTGATTCAATGCTAGGAAGTATCTAGAGAGATCCCTAGTGTTTCATTGTTAGGAAGTATCTAAAGAGAGATCCCTAGTGTTTCATTGTTAGGAAGTATCTAAAGAGAGATCCCTAGTGTTTCATTGTTAGGAAGGATCTAGAGAGATCTTTTGTGCTTCAATGTTAGGAAGGATCTTGAGAGATCCCTAGTGATTCAATGTTAGGAATTATCTAAAAGGATCCCTTGTGCTTCAATGTTAGGAAGTATCCTGAGAGATCCCTAGTGTTTCAATGTTAGGAAGTATCCTGAGAGATCCCTAGTGATTCAAGGTTAGGAATTATCCTGAGAGATCCCTTGTGCTTCAATGTTAGGAAGTATCTTGAATGATTCCTAGTGATTCAATGTTAGGAAGCATCTAGAGAGATCCCTAGTGCTTCAATGTTAGGAAGTATCTAGAGAGATCCCTAGTGATTCAATGTTAGGAAGTATCTAAATAATTCCCTAGTGTTTTAATGTTAGGAAGTATCTAGAGAGATCCCTAGTGTTTCAATGTTAGGAAGTATCCTGAGAGATCCCTAGTGATTCAAGGTTAGGAATTATCTTGAGAGATCCCTAGTGTGTCATTGTTAGGAAGTATCTAGAATCCCTAGTGTTTCATTGTTAGGAAGTATCTAGAGAGATCCCTTGTGCTTCAATGTTATGAAGTATCTTGAAAGATTCCTAGTGATTCAATGTTAGGAAGCATCTAGAGAGATCCCTAGTGCTTTAATGTTAGGAAGTATCTAGAGAGATCCCTAGTGTTTCAATGTTAGGAATTATCCTGAGAGATCCCTAGTGTTTCAATGTTAGGAAGTATCCTGAGAGATCCCTAGTGATTCAAGGTTAGGAATTATCCTGAGAGATCCCTTGTGCTTCAATGTTAGGAAGTATTTAGAGAGATCCCTTGTGCTTCAATGTTAGGAAGTATCTTGAATGATTCCTAGTGATTCAATGTTAGGAAGCATCTAGAGAGATCCCTAGTGCTTTAATGTTAGGAAGTATCTAGAGAGATCCCTAGTGTTTCAATGTTAGGAAATATCTAGAGAGTTCCCTAGTGTTTCAATGTTAGGAAGTATCTAAAGAGAGATCCCTAGTGTTTCATTGTTAGGAAGTATCTAGAGAGATCTTTTGTGCTTCAATGTTAGGAAGTATCTTGAGAGATGCCTAGTGATGCAATGTTAGGAAGTATCTAGAGAGATCCCTTGTGCTTCAATGTTATGAAGTATCTTGAAAGATTCCTAGTGATTCAATGTTAGGAAGTATCTTGAGAGATCCCTAGTGATTCAATGTTAGGAATTATCTAAAAGGATCCCTTGTGCTTCAATGTTAGGAAGTATCCTGAGAGATCCCTTGTGCTTCAATGTGAGGAAGTATCCGGGGGGATCCCTAGTGATTCCTAACATTGAAGCAAAAGGGATCCCTTTAGATAATTCCTAACAGGGAAGCACGAGGGATCTCTCAAGATAATTCCTAACCTTGAATCCCTAGGGATCTCTCAGGATACTGCCTAACATTGAAGCAAAAGGGATCCCTTTAGATAATTCCTAACCTTGAATCACAAGGGATCTCTCAGGATCCTTCCTAACATTGAATCACTAGTGTGTCATTGTTAGGAAGTATCTTGAGAGATCCCTAGTGCTTCAATGTTAGGAATTATCTAAAGGGATCCCTTGTGCTTCAATGTTAGGAAGTATCCTGAGAGATCCCTTGTGATTCAAGGTTAGGAATTATCTTGAGAGATCCCTAGTGCTTCAATGTTAGGAATTATCTAAAGGGATCCCTTGTGCTTCAATGTTAGGAAGTATCTTGAGAGATCCCTAGTTATTCAATGTTAGGAAGTATCTAGAGAGATCCCTAGTAATGCAATGTTAGGAAGTATTTAGAGAGATCTCTAGTGATTCAAAATCCCTAATTCAGCAGAAGGTTCCCACAAGTGAAAGCAGGTACGGAGTGTATGCTCTTTTCAAACCCCGACCTACTGGGGTTCTCCATCAAAAAAGAACGGGTAGTAAAGTGTGGAATGAAGTGTTTCAATACAAGGGGAAAACCCGTTGAATGGCCGTTTTATGCATATGATCCAGAAAAAAAACAGATTCTGCAAGTGTTATGCATAGGGTGCAGAAGGGAAGAAAAAAACCAAATCTGCAAGTGGGCTTCTTAGTCGGCCCTTACAATACCTGTAATGGAATGTGATATTACAAATAAACACCCTTATTGCATTAATAGCTTATTAGTTACTTAAGTAGTATATGATGTAGGCACGAAATAGTTTACAAAAAAATATGTACACATATTCAATTATAAATTCGATGATGATGATAAAGAAATCCCAACTTTACGAAAAATACACATATGTTGCATAAAGGTAGCATGACAGAGCGGTCTAAGGAGCTGGTTTTAGGCACCAGTATCATTGAGGCGTGGGTTCGAATCCCACCTCTGCCATGCTATATGTTTCGTTAAAAATACAATTTGAAACTATTTCTCATTAGTGGAATGTTTGATGACAAATTAACATAAAGCTGACAGTGCAAGTTTAAAAGCTTTTAATTGAGATTAAACAAAGACAAACTAAAAAGTCGGCACTTCCCTAGAAAGGAAAGTCGAAAGGGAACGGGAAGATCTCAATTTTTTTTTTTTTAAACTTTGTTTTTAATCTCATTTGAAAGCTTTTTAACTTGCACTGTCAACTTTAACCATACCTATTATGTGATTTTACAATGAAACTAATTTTGTATAAAGATGAACGTACGGTACACACACAGGTGATCGCACCTTTAGCATTGTAATAGATACAGTATAGCAAAAATGAATATCATTGCACCATACTTCGACGCACCAGTTTGGTAGGAATACTAAATGCTAAGTTTCTGTTGAACACAAACAGTAATTGACAACTTATTTTGCTAGCTTTCGAAAACGTCTGTTTCCTTTGCAAGCAAAGAGTACAACTGACCGGTGGCTCGACTCTAAACCGCTGAAAACGAACTCGCTAAGCCACTATGTGCCGAGTCAGTTAATTCATCTGTCGGAATATACTGAGACATTTCGCAAAATAGCAATCTTAGAGTGCAGAAAATATATAGACTTTTTGCGAAATAGCACTCTAATCACTTGCATTCTTTGCTTGACAAAGGAAAAGAGGCGTTTTCGAAAGCTCAGAAAACAAGTCTTTAATTATGTATGTGTTTAAAACGAACTTAGCATTTATTGCACCACACTGGCGTGTCTAGGATTGTTAATGATGGTAATACAATGTCGACACTGCTGTTGAATCATATTGGGTGGTAGTTAACCCCTTAATCCAGTAAATTTAAAATATAACAGGAGTACTGGTTAATTTCAAATTAATGATATGTATAGTATGTATACATTATTATGACTTCTGTCACTACTCAAAACAGATAACTGGGGCTATCAAGGAAATCTAGCATAGGCTGGTCAGACACACACGTGATTGTACCAATACAAATATAAATGGACGGACTTCTGAAAGGAGGGGTGCCAATTTGGGCCTTTTGGTGTCTATCACCGATAAGTTTCATTTTTTGTACATACATACCTAGGGGTTATGCCATCATGATATGACATGAAATTAAGGTCAGCTTGGAGACCATTTCGAAATATAAGGGGGTTAAATGAGCGACCAAAAATCACAAATGGTCTCTTTTTGACAAAACTACATATTATCTATTGAAAGTTTCTTCATAATTTTGATGTATTGTGTAACACAAAAGCTGCAAATAAATAATGGCCGAAAAAAAGTAGCACATAGTTGATAAGTAGGTCACTGTGACATTACTGCGATATTATTAGTACAAGGTGGTCCCGTATGATGTTTACAACATATTTTAAGTAACAAACTAGGTAATCACAGATAATTTTATCTTTGATTCTACGGCTTGTCAATATTTAAACTGGTTTTGTTCTCTGATTGTTCCAAATTTAATATTCTCTTCCTAAGCACCTCTGTATCCGGTGTACTAAATCTAATACAATAATGTAGTTATTAGATTTTACACATATATTTTTGATAAACGACTGTATGCGAATAAAACGTCATGTCTGATGCTCTAGACCTTATAAATAGATTCGCAAAGTACAGGAGAAAAACACTCTCTCTGAATAGCACATTTCTAATCGTTGCATTGGTGAACGACAGGTAGTGACTATTTCAGATTTACCTACTTTATGTTAATGTAGAAAGAAGGTATAATGATAAAATAATGTATATTTATAACAGGTCGCTTCTTTATGTATTAACAAGCCTTAACATATAACGGCTGTAGGAGGGTTGGCAACTCGGAAGAAATGTCAACTCAAACATTCGAATATGTCCACTGGAAACTCGAAAATGTTAACTTGAAAGTCGAAAACGTTCATTTGAAACTCTATACTCGACGAAAATGAATCCTCAAAGAAATGTCGTAATGTCAGATTGATTGTATTAATGGTATTGGTGGAACGAATATTTTAATGCTGTGTATATTTACTTCTTCCGTTGAAATCAAAACGTTGGCGCCAACTCTTCTTAAATCAATTTTCTAATGGAACCGGACTATATTGAAATCTATTGAATACATCTGAAAAAACGAACGAAAACAAAAATAAAAGTCGTTTGAAATATGCTATAACTAGACTAACAAGTTAATCTCATACATTACGGTCTGAAGCAGTTGCTGTTAATAACCATTCTATAATAAGATAAATTAACAATGAAATCTCAGCCGATCAACAAAGACATAGTTATAACACCTGAGTGTACGCGACACAGATTATTACCTTCAGTATCATGAGTTACATGAGTGCTATTGCAATCTTCCAAATTTTGTTCGCAGATAGGGTTCATGAGAACAGCAAGTTGAACTATTAACTTTTCTCTCATTACTTTGTCATGGTTACTTGATTTCTGATGAAGAGCATACTTACCAAGGATTTTTTGCCGATAGTGATATATTACAAAGACCAATACCAATACCACTACTAATCCAATTAGGCAGAGTATACCTATTGTTGTTCCCACGGTTTTCCTGTGTGTGTAGAAGTTATCATATATAATTATATACAGTAACAAACAGATCAATTTGAAAAAATACACACAAACTTATCCATCTCGCTCTGTAACGTTTATTCTGTAATTTTATCTTTATGCATTGTTACGCTGATTTTATCAAAGTGTGGTCGCTTGGGAACTATGTGAAAGCGTTTGATTACACTTCACTGCTTGTAAATAATTTAATTCTAAAACAGCTTGGCTATCCTCCAAATCAATATCTCTACAGGATGTGTTGAAACGTTACATGCTAATGTTATCAATAATACGTCTAATATTTAGAGGTATCTGTTTATCCTTTAATTAATAAATAGTGGCAATAATAAATCAAAAACACATATTTTGACATAGGTTTTGTTTTGTTTGATTTTATATTGTTAAACGTCCTATTAACATCCGAGGTCATTTAAAGACGTGCCTCCAAGTGTGTTTGGTAAGCCTAAATGTATGTATGTGTGCTGGAGACAGAGTATGTTGGTGTACTGGCCTCCTTGTGATAGCGTGGATCTCATACCGACTTTATAGTGCTATATCACTGAAACACTATGCCGAAGGCACCCAGCACAGCATTCCGCCCGGTCACATTATACAGACAACGGGTGAACCAGTTTTTGCCATTTCCCTTAATACCGAACGTTATGCAGGCAATAACAACTACCAAGGACGTTTGTATGTCCCGGCCTGGGGACAGAACCCAATGTATTCCTCACCTGGGCGCACGTTCAACATTAAAGCCAAATGTGAGTTGTTGCCAAGCAAGGCGTTAGGGGAAAAAGGTAGTTAGGACCAGAGAGAAATGTATTGCAAAGGGTGCAGCGGAATTATTTTGGTCGCTTTTGTGTCCCCAAGTAGAGGGCACAAAAACAAATCCCCAATTCTGCTGGGGGTTTCCACACATAAGTCGCCTCTTACGATACAAGCAGGAGTGTTCTCTATCTCCGACCTGCAGGAGTGTTGATGTAGTTACGTACCAGCTCACTTTGTCGCCGCTGTTACCATTCACGGTAGCTGTAGCGGTCGTCGATTTTACCCGGGCAGCTGTAGAAGTCGTTGATTCAGCCGTTGATTCTGTCGTCACTTGAGGAGGAGATTCAGTAGTGTTAATAGGCTGCAGTGACGGGACAGGCGTACTGTCTGGCACTTCAGTTTTAGTAACTTGCACTTTAACTGTCGCAATTCTGTTAAACCAGGCATAAAGATAAAGCATTTTAGGTACATGAAAAAACAAGATAGATTTTCCTAAACCGACATTAAACAAAAGTATAATGTTTTATATAGTCACAGAGATAATCTGTGTGTGGTAGTTTGGTGTGTAGCTTATACATATAGAAAATATAGATCAATGAAAAATGGTAAAGAAACATAGATCTGTCACAAAAGAAAAATAGAATCAGTATTAACACTATCTGTTAAGGAAACTGATATTACCTCTAGCATCCAACTCCGACAGTCATTCACCTTATTATAAGAATATACAAGAACAGTTAAAAGTCTGTAAATGAACCATTTTGGATTTTTAAGACAAGTTTCAATTATCTAAAAGTTAAAATATCACAGCATCAACAATGGCAATATTGGAACTCGAAATTGACACGAAAATGTATAAACAATGGTTAAACATATATGAAATACATCAATATTACCGCGCAAATATTTGACATCATCCACCTTCTCTGATTAATATAAGTATATTGAAATAACATTTAATCTAGTGGTGAATTGGTTGTCGTTACTCACGTTTGCTGACAGGTGCAGTTTTGAAGGAGAATTTCATCATGTCGACATTTCCGCTTCTGGCAGTTACAGGGATCTAATCCACAAATACCTGATTCCGTGTCACACCTACACTGCATTCGATAGTCCCCAGCACAGGCATGCATCTCGCTTGTGGGAACTGTACCTAATAGCGACAAATGTTGGATTAGAAAATGTATATTTGATTGATACGAATTTGTAAACATAACCTGAACAAGATGACATTTAAGCTCGGTTTCCAGAAGAAAAATGAATGTAAGACGCACACATTATTGCGCATATTCAATTTAGTTTTTGATACAATATGCCAAACATGCATAACCCTCATCATAAAGCTGTTTCGTTCTATTCTAAATGGTCGTATTTGCTGTTTTACTATAGTAACAGAATGGGAAGTGCGTAAGACCCCTTACTCATCCGAATTTGAAAAACTGGAGGAGTACAGGTAAATTTTAAATGATTGATATGTAAAGCGTATGTAAAGGACTCTGGCCCTACTCAAAGGAGATAAGTGTGGCTGTCAGGGTTACAATCGGCTACTTTAAAAAAAACTATTAATCTTCTGTATGCTAAATAACATCATATATCAATTTATTATGTACCCATACATATAAGTGACCTATCTTGTAATACCGGGTCCCTAGGTAAGTGTAACATATTTATCTGAGGGACGTACCGGGTCCCTAGGTAAGTTTAACATATTTATCTGAGGGACGTACCGGGTCCCTAGGTTAGTGTTACATATTTATCTGAGTGACGTACCGGGTCCCTAGGTTAGTGTAACATATTTATCTGAGGGACGTACCGGGTCCTAGGTAAGTGTAACATATTATCTGAAGGACGTACCGGGTCCCTAAGTAAGTGTAACATATTTATCTGAGGGACGTACCGGGTCCCTAGGTAAGTGTAACATATTATCGGAGGGACATACCGGGTCCCTAGGTAAGTGTAACATTTATCTAAGGGACGTAACGGGTCCCTAGGTAAGTGTAACATATTTATCTGAGGGACGTACCGGGTCCCTATGTAAGTGTTACGTATTTATCTGAGGAACGTACCTGGTCCCTAGGTAAGTGTAACATATTTATCTGAGGGACGTACCGGTTCCCTAGGAAAGTGTTACATATTATCTGAGGGACGGACCGGGGCCCTAGGTTAGTGTAACATATTTATCTGAGGGACGTAACGGGTCCCTAGGGAAGTGTAACATATTTATCTGAGGGACGTACCTGGTCCCTTGGGTAGTGTAACATATTTATCTGAGGGACGTACCGGGCCCCTAAGTTAGTGTAACATATTTATCTGAGGGACGTAACGGGGCCCTAGGTAAGTGTAACATATTTATCTGAGGGACTTACCGGGTCCCTAGGTAAGTGTAACATATTTACCTGAGGGCCGAAACGGGTCCCTAGGTAAGTGTAACATATTTATCTGAGGGACTTACCGGGTCCCTAGGTAAGTGTAACATATTATCGGAGGGACATACCGGGTCCCTAGGTAAGTGTAACATTTATCTAAGGGCCGTAACGGGTCCCTAGGTAAGTGTAACATATTTATCTGAGGCACGTACCGGGTCCCTAGGTTAGTGTAACATATTTATCTGAGGGACGTACCCGGTCCCTAGGTAAGTGTTACGTATTTATCTGAGGGACGTACCGGGTCCTTAGGTAAGTGTCACATATTTATCTGAGGGACGTACCGGGTCCCTAGGTTAGTGTAACATATTTATCTGAGGGACGTACCGGTTCCCTAGGTAAGTGTTACATATTATCTGAGGGACGGACCGGGTCCCTAGGTTAGTGTAACATATTTATCTGAGGGACGTAACGGGTCCCAAGGTAAGTGTAACATATTTATCTGAGGGACGTACCGGGTCCCTAGGTAAGTGTTACGTATTTATCTGAGGGACGTACCTGGCCAGTGGTGACAGTGGTGTATCGGTTGACACTCCAGCTCGCTCTGCTCCGACTTCGTGACATCAAACATGTTAGTACCGGGTGGACAGGGGGTGCATACATCCGCTGTGAAGTTCTTTACACAATGCTTTGCATAGGTACCTAAACAGAAATGAATCATTTTACTAAACACAAACCGTATGCTTTTTATGTTTATTTATCACATAATTGACCTTTTTTACTGTCATACGGCCATGTCATCAATATGGTTTTACACATGTGTAATAAAACCTTAGATCGGTCAAAACCGTGGGAACATATTCCTACGCCACTGCAAATTTTGAATGATTTTGAAATGTTTATTTTATCATTATTATTTTCGTTGCATTTAAAACTGTTCATTATTAAAAAACATATAATCTGGAATAATTTTGCACTGCGCGGAACGACAATACAATGATCGGAGTGTTTCGTTTTATTTTACCTTTAACAAGTCAGCTGTCAACACATAATTGTGTTTGAAGTTACTTTTCAAAATATGAATGTTAAGTGATAAATATAATCTTACATTCGTGTCTATGTCATATTGAATTTACTAAACTTGTTCAATAATTATATATGACACTCGCCTAAAGGCTCGTGCCATATGAAATTATTGATCTCATATGATTCAATATGAAATGAACACGAATGTAAGATCTTTTATTTATTACAAGACCACAGTTTTATTTAGTAACTATAACAACGTCAAACGTTTACTTATGTTCTTCTCGTAACCCTATATAATGTCATACATTATGACATAAAAATGACAATTCATATTATTATTTTGTTTGTTTGTTTTTCTTGGGGTTTAACCTTCGCGCAACAACCAGTGTCATAGAAGGACAGGTGCTTAGTACCACAACAACGGAAAAATATTCCAAGGGTTGCAAATCCATATTTTTGTGAATTAAAACCTAGTGTTTACAACTTCCTTAAATCAATGGTTCACTAAAATGATATTTGAGGTAAGCATTTAAAGTTTAACGTTGTGTGACTAGTATATATTCAAGAAAATACTTCTCCAAATCTTAAAGCTTGTAACTCAATTATTTTTCATGAGTAACACACAGGGTCTCGTTACAAATGTCTGAAATACACATGTTTATGTATGTTGTGACCCAGATCAGTATAGCATATGTGTATTTCAGACATTTGTAACGAGACCCTGTGCACAAAGATGAACACAACATTTTTGTTGCATGATTATATTTTATTTTGATGGAAATCGATAAACCCGGATTGAATTAATTATGCCACACTAAAGATGAGAGTTGTTAAGAATTGATAGTTGAGCTCAGGTTGACATATTATGTTTCTCAAACACCTAGCATTATATACTTACCAATATGACAAATAACCCGCTCACAGATTGTACGGTTATCTCCCCGTTGCCTCTTTATGTGTTTGTTAGCATCGAACACCGGCTGATGACGACTTTGTTCTGTCGTAGGTCGTGATGCCCTCCTTCCCCTTATGCGCAGGTGATTGATATCCTCAAGCTCTGACGTACCCCGAACTCCCCGACGTATATTGTCATTAATTCGACGTTTCCTGATCAACTTAAGGAGCCGATTGTTCCTTTCTAAGTGTTGAGTAATATTAACTATTTGGAATGGTTCGGAAACACGTCTTTGGTGCACATACCTGAGTAACCTTCTACTATCGTTCCCTGTTAAAGCATCACAGACAACAAAACATGTCATTCCTATCATAATCATCCAAAGGATGGTTTGTTGTTCCATATCGATATCTGAAATCAACAAAAAATGTCCTTACTACTCACACAGCCATTGGGTAAATTTAAAGAAGAAAAGTAAATTGGTTCAGTAACTCCGTACGCGTATGCAAAAACATAGATATTGTCAAATTTCACTTGATAATCTTATACTGAACCTGACATTTTATCAATTACACTGATTGTTTTCTTCTAAACTTTAGATACAATGTCAGGAATATTCAACATCAAGGAAGTTACAAACGCGCACTCTTTTAACCCACTAGTCTTATCTCCATACTTACAAAATAAACAGGATGCAATGTATGAAATACACTTACAGAACAGGGTATTTTGAGACTGAAATTGGAACAAAACTGTAAAAAATCGAACTCAAGTCTGAATAGAATGCCGGATCGAGACTCATTTAGAAAAAAACCTGAATTGAAGATTATATCTTCACTAGATCAACCCCTATACAGTGTACTTACATAATGACATGGTTAAGGCTGCATTGTGTGATACTTAACATTGATAAACAAAACGGTAATTCGAACCAAACATTAATGAACAGATGTGTAACAGGATTTTAATTTAAAATATATATATATATACTATCTAGGACTTGATTGCTTATCTGATATTATGTTTGTATTATTTGTTTAAAATGGTTATTTTTTCGATTGAATCAAACAATTTGAGAGTCTCTTCAAAACATATGAGATTTATCATATACACCGCTATTGAGGTGAAATCCTTGATTAAGATAGTATGCGGCACTTCCTTAAATTTCTCTGTGATCTACCGACTGCTAACTGAAGATGAACTGTAGCTCGAAAATAAACATTTCAATTTGTCGAACTATATAACAAAGTGTATAGATTGAAACTAACTGTATGCTATGTGCTACCTCTTATTTCTTTATTTCTTTATTTCTGTTAAACTAGAGCAAATATCAAAATCAAATACTACGTGTTTTAGTGTTACGTTATATCAAACCCCGATTTTAGCGGTCAAAGATCAGATCTAACTAGTGTTTTAAATACAGATTGGACACAGTGTGCATTTTCATAAGGTATATTTCATTTCAGAAATAAAAATCCTATTCGCAAAACTTTTTGTTTGAATGTAAAGTTACCTTACGACAAGGAAGTTGATACTTGCATCATACATATATTTACTATATAGTCTATATTTAGCATCTGCATGCTAAATATTGACATGGGGAATTCCAAAGGTGAATAGTTAGGTCTGTCTCGTGTAAATTGTAAATCACTTCAAAGACAGAACCTATATGAAGAATAAATTTGAATAAATGTTTTAAAAATGCTTCCATTCATGGTCACGCTTACATTCATCTTTGATAGACATATTGATATGAATATAAGGAGGTAAATGTGTTAAGTAGTGTGTAATTGTTTTCATTTTTTTAATGTTATGTGTAAATGTATCTACTACAAAGCAGTAAGAAACTCTTTATAGATATATTAATGTATGAACGAATTTTGAGCATTTCGATAATTCAATCACAATGTTGTTTCTCATTTCTCAAACAAATAATTCAAAACGTTTTGTACATAAATTAGACATGCAATATTTATAGGTCAGATGGCGTTTTATAGGTAAGCATATAAGTATGGTAATCATCAGTATAAATAGTCTTACCTCTGGTGCCTCGACCGTACGTTGTTGTACAGACTGTAAAAATGTCTAGGGGAATTACGATTTTGGGAAGGCCTATGTAGACTAATATATTATGACATAACGCGCTATATTTAAATCCTCTTGCTTACAGATCCATAGTGATATATCCATGTATACAATATATCTGTGTAGGTATTGTAGAATCTTTAGATCAATTACAGGTTGTTTCTTCTACTAATACTAAAGACAAATTCCCGCTCATTGTCGCCCGTAACGCAGAGTTGACAGATATGAAATTAACCTTGATATCAATTATAGTTAGTGCTACCGACAAAGGAAATATGATAATTAGTGCTTACACTATAATAATAATAAAAAAAATGTTGGAAATAATTCGCCTATGACAGTAACATATAAGTAGGTGTCGTAAAGTTTAAATCTATTCCAATATAAAATTCTGCTATTTATGTCAACGGTCATTTTAGCAACTGAAATATGATTTATTGTTTTGTTTGTGTGTTTGAACGGTAAGTTTAAACCTGCAACTGAAGATTTGTAGTGGACCAGAATACAAAAAAAAAAACCACGTTTAACCTAATAAAGTACATCAAAATATAAAATGATGCTTAATAAAGTGCACGGTAAAATCAAATACACTTTCTGTGTCTTTCTTATATGAATATACAATTGAGCGCTTGTACGCTCTTGCTGAGATATAAAGCTAATTAATATAGGCGATAGTACTGTTACGTAATCTCTACAACTAGCTGAATTTGTGTAATAATGTAACGCTTTTATATCACTACAATCTATCTATTAGATGATTTGCATGAATACTACCTAGCCCGAGTTTCCACTGGCCCTGACACCAGACTTTAGAGATTTTGACAGATAGGGCTAGAGGAAACTCGGGCTACGCACCTGTGCTGTGACCCATACCAGTATAGCATATGTGTATTAGGCATTTGTAACAAACTCCTGTGGGCTGAGTTCATTTTTAAGTATTACTAGTTGCACAAAAAGTTCAAAAGTTGTGGCATAATGTTAGCATTTCATACTATCAGTTTCTAGGATGTACACCTGGATGCACAGATGGACGTTTTAAAACCACTGCATAGGAAATGACATTCCCTAGTGCAGTTTGTCCCATATACCCACAAGGAGTGGCCAATATGGAAATTCAATCACCGTTTTATCTGCGTATCAGTTATTTTTGGAGCTATATAACATTACGTTGAACTATTTATAGACTCTTTCTATATTTTGACAAGGGTATTTCCTCCTAGCTATTATCATCTTGCGGCATGTTTTTTTCTGTAAATCACGTTCATTTGAGGACAGTGTTAGACAGGACTTATATATAATAAATTTCAAACAATATATAATTAGGACAAGTGCTGATTCTATTTAAGGATCATGTGTATCATCGACGAGAGAGCCATACCCATAGGTCAAATGTCACGTACGTAGTACGGTGTGTTGTGCGTTTACAATGAAATGTTTTATAAAAATACGTATAATAATAAGTTTGTAGACATATATATTCATTTATTAACGTAGTAAACCTGACGTCTAGAACGATCTCGAAACACAGCGAAGACGCAATCATATACAGCCGTTCTCATTTCTGATATATTTATGTTTATAACGTTAGTTATGCACATAAATAAACATGTTAAACACGAAAACACAATCATGGTAATGAATATTAATACTTACCTCTTAGGAAGAGCTGTGGTATTCGTTGTATCGTAGCTGTACAGGAATGAATTAGTTGTATTTAGGGGAATACCCATCTATGACGTGATATCTTCTTGCGCATCAGCTGATTATGACACTGGTACTAGCCTCGTCTGTCAATACACCTACAATATGATCGTGTATTGACAGACTAGGCTAGTACCTGTGATTATAACAAATGACATATATGTGCAGAAATTATAGAAAATCTATCTTGGAAATTCTTGATAGAAGCATTTAAGCGTATATTAACTAACAACATGTAATTAATGATTTATATTAATTCGTGCACAAGTGCGATTTCCAAACCAGGACTAAATTTTTTTTGATAGGGAATTCAATATTTGTGATGGACATTTAAAAAGAATATTTAGAAGGATATTTACAGATTTTTAAGACAAATGATGGGTACTTTAAGTTTTCTTGTTGCATGTGTTCGGCTATTTATAGCTTATACATTATATATATACATACGGGTATAGTAACATTAACGTTCCAAATGATGTCATAGTGGACTCTCATATGTTAATATCATGTTTGTCTCCCGACCACATCCATTAGGCTCTAGAAGTAAGGACAGTGTGCATGCTGACAGTATAAGCCAATTAATAGCTATACAATAACTACATGCTAAGAATGAGGAATAAGGTAAAATATCGTATATAATTCAGTAGGTGAATTTGCCTTAAAATTACGCTGTAGTTATACACATGACATATGTAATAAATATATCAAGATTTGCAATTGAATTTGAGTTTGATATATTAACCAATCTGGGCCTTTTTTCTCTTTTTATTTGTTAACCATCTCAAGAATTTTCCATTTTTTTTTTCCTTAAATATATGGCTGAAATATGAAATTGGTTTTAAAATATACACAACATTCTATTCTTACGAACCTATCTTTGCCTGCATCCCAAATACCTAAAACAGGTCCACAGCCTGCTTGCAGTTTCACATCAGTGTATTAGACTCACAAAAACTTGCAGACTGGCAGGAGAAGAATAATCTGTCCTGATGTGTAGTTCACTTTCACATGTACATCACGTCTACTTTTTCATTTCCCATGGGTTCACATTAATAATATATCTTTTGCAAGCTAGCAAAGCATGTCGACGAATGTTCCTCAGACGCAGCTTTGTCCGGTGGAGTTACGCACCGGTGGAGTTACAGGCCCACTGATTAAGAGGAAGCTTAGTGTGAAGGTACGGAAGAAATGTATAAAATATACTGATACTGTTATAGACTTTTGATCATTGTCTTCCACGCAGCATTCAGTGATATTTATAAAAAATCGATATTGTTTCTGTGAACGTCCAATGGTTATTGCGGCTGCTAATGCATACACGGTTGTAAGCTTCGTTTGCATAAATTTGTTTAAAGGAAATGTTGAATTTTAACTTACTTCCTTAATGATGTTCGATGACTATTTAGTAAATGTCCATAGTAATGTTTTACTAGACAGGTCAATTCAACGATAGCAAACGTGTGGTTGTTACTAACGGGAACATTGTACAGAAAGACGTGTAAAATTATGAATTTGATATTACTTTCATATTTCAAATCAAAACAAAACACTTATGTGCTTTGGAATTGTTACTTTATTACTTAAACGGCTGAAGTTACAATTACACTGTAATATACCATGGAATATTCTTACACTCATCCGCGATCGGACAGGGAAAAACCGGCGAAATACATCCGTGGTCCTTAATTATTGGATAGCACGCTTGAATTATTTAATTATTTAATTTCATGCCTTTCAATTTCAAAAGTATTTTATTGACAATACATATGTCATACAAACAAATAAGTTAAAATTAAAGAAGATGTTAGAACAGTATTGACAAAAGAATCAGACAACACGAATGCCTATATCAGTCTTCTTCTATTTCTGGTAGCTATGTACAATGATTAAATAAAATGTTGTAGTTCGTTTTCCTCTCACACACATGCACACCCACACTAGCTTATGTGTAATATTCATTGTTTAAGGGACAAAACTTGCCTGAATAATAATAATAACAATACATGAATAATAATTTGGAATTTATCTAGCATGTATAAGTAACGAAACGTTTTGATGATTTAATATAAAAGTCAACATGTATAAGAATAGTATTATTTAATTGGTCAGATGCATTACTAATACCATATAATAAACAGTGCAGATTTAAATATCCTCATATATTATAAATAGTGGTACATATATGTAATATGATGTCTAATATTTGACTACAGAGGACATTGAAAGAAAAAATGAATTAGATCTTCCCTCTGTGCACCACATACACAGGAAGCATCATCAATCAGATGGTCTTGTAACTTATCAAAGTTAAGATCACTTTTAAAATTTCTTAGCTGACATAAAATGATGTTAAGTTAACACAGTGATAACAGTTTCTGAGACAGATGTATTAAAAGTATTTTAAAGTTTCTTTTTAAAAGATGAAATTGAGATAGAATCTCGTACGGTACTATGAAGTGCATTCCATTTTACCATTGTAGAAGGGAAGAAGCTATTCATATAAGTAGTAGTTCTTGTCTGTGGTATATTAAAGAATCTGTTATTTCTGAAGGTATAGTTGTTATTTACATTTAGAAATTGTTGAATGATATCATCGAGATAAGTTGGAGTGTTATTATTAAGAATCGTATACATTAATGTTAGTTTATGATTTTGTCTTTGTGAGTGTAATGTTTCAAGTTGTGTTTCAGTATACAGAATGTGATGAGATGTACCTCGTCTGAGGCCAGTAATTAAACGCATAGCTTCTAGTTGAACTGATTCTAAAAGATCTGATTCAGATTTGTACAATTATCCCATACTATATCAGAATATTCTAACACATGTCTTATATAAGAGACATATAATGATTTCAATGTATTCCTATCAACTGTAGTTTTTAAAATCCTAAGAATGCTTAGTCTAGAGTTAGATTTTATATAAATATTTGAAATGTGATCTGCCCATGTCCCTTTACTGTTAAATGTTAGTCCTTAGTTTCTTAAAGTAGTTTTCTTTGGATTGCCGAATAAGTTTTATAGTGGCATTGCGACACTTCTAAATTTTGCCCAATCATGTTCCCTATTTTTATTTTTAGCTATTCTAAATAATCTATTATTATATCTTAATTCATGCCGAATTTCACCAGTCATCCAAGGTTTGTCATCAGATGGACAGCAATTGTTATATGGGGTATACAGGAGTTTGTAGCAGAGTTTATTTTGTTATATTTCGTTAATGCTAGTAGTGTTATTTATTACCTAAGGATTCCCAATTATTAATAGTTCAAGTAGTTCAATATTAATAGCATCCCAATTAGCTTCATTGAATTTATATATAGATTTTCTTGAATGGTTTATTTTTTGAGTGTTTTAAAACAAATGTTAGCAAGAATGGGGCAGTGATCACTACAGAGAGGGGAAAGTACCTGTGTTCAGTTAAAAATGTTAACATTATTAGTAATAAATACCTCAACTAGGGTAGCAGTAGTGTTTGTAATGCGTGTTGGTGATTGTATTAATTTTTTAAGTGATATTTAGTAATTAACCTTGCAAGATGTGAATTAGGTTTCATTATTATAAGGTCAACATTTATGTCACCAGTAATAATGATATTAAGATTAGTATTAGGAACACTCAAAGTAGACCGGTGATTGTTAAATTCATGTGTAGACGAAAGAAAATCGAAAGTGTGGAGAAGAGGAAAAACCTCAGAGGCTCAAGGTATGTGATAAGAGAGGATTTAAGTCGTGAGAACCAATATCTCGTAAGAACATGTCAGTTAGACCAAAGAATTGCAGAAACTTGGGTACAGAACGGGAAAATTTTGGCGCGCCTCAAATCTAATAACACTGTTCACCGGGTTTACCCGGGTTTTGATGTGGACAAACTCTGAATCTCTCCTGAATTGTTAGATCTATTAGAATGGACAAAGCCAATATTTTTTTTCACGTGAGATGTTTATTGAAGAACTTTATACAAACTGCATGTCTTATGTAAGTATCAAAGATTTCATTGTTTAGGTTATGTTTTGTCTCTCGACATGTCTTTGCTTTGTATGATTTAAAAAAAATAAAAAAAATAAAGTTGTATTTACAAATGCACCGATGAGCGAAACATAGATATTTTAGTTAAATCCAAACATGTGTGTAATATATTCCTTTGCAATGAAAGCTTTGCACATGATTTTTTATGGTACTTCAAAATATTTATTGTATACCGAGATTGCCCCTGACAAGCAATGTGTGTAATATACCTGTGTTACGTGCATAACAATTTACACCTGTAAACGCCCTAATGTAATGCAGGCAGTTTTTTTTTCTGTTTTACCATTTTGTACTGAATGAGATGCTTCAGTCTCATATATACATATTTCCACCAATAGAAATGTTAGTAATTGTATTTTTACCTTCTTTGGTTATTATGAGACGACCCAAAACAATAATGCACACGTACGTTTTATGTTCGAGTTATTGCACAGGGACTTGTGTTTCACACTATTGTTATATGATGTGCTTTCGAAATAATATAAATGATAAAACATCGTATAATTTCCAATTTCATGCGATCATTTTTCGTTAAAAATGGTTAGAAAAATGATGAACAAGATACAGAAAAAAATATGGTTTTGACAATACTTTCATGTTGTTAGTGTGCTCGTATCCGAACGCACCATAGGAGACAAAATCTTAATCTCGTCAGCGCTTGCTTACTTCCGGTATATATCTAGCTCCATCATCTCGCTGTTTTTGGAAGGTAAATTGCTGCGCTTTTGTACCCTATTGACAGCTATCAGTATTTTTTGTGTTAGTATTATGTATATGTTTTTGTATCTGTGCTGTTTCATTTTTCGTTACATGTTTTTCCTTTTCAACCTTTGCAAAGCCTGGCATGGTATTGTGGTGAATTTCGGGAGAGTTATCTCCCTTGGACCGTGGACCGCGCCGACACGAGATCTCGTGAGCTACGTGATATCATCGCTGTGACGCGTTGGCGCGGTCTCTTATACTTCTTGATATCGAACCAGCAACACGTGAGCTGAGAGCATTTACAACTACTTGTTGTGACGGTGTGTGAATAACACACACCGAATTCACGACAATTGGTGTCATAAGTGAGAAAGAACTCACGCTATTCGCGCTATTTTGACATTTTTTTCCATATTTTTTTTTCTACCTTGCTGGTCCCCTCTCGCTCGCACGTGCGCTGGCCATTTTGTTGAACTCCTCCTTGGCTGTTTCGAGGAACATAAATAACAGGCTAAGGTATCTCACTACACACCCGTCATCATATGACCCTGGCTGTTACGAGGAAATATAATAACAGGCTAAGGTATCTCACTACACACCCGTCAGCATATGACCCTGGCTGTTACGAGGAACATACAATGACAGGCTTAGGTCTCTCACTATACACCCGCCATCATATGACCCTGGCTGTTTCGAGGAACATAAATAACAGGCTAAGGTATCTCACTACACACCTGTCATCATATGACCCTGGCTGTTACGAGGAACATACAATAACAGGCTAAGGAATCTCACTACACACCCGTCAGCATATGACCTGGCTGTTACGGGGAACATACAATAACAGGCTAAGGTCTCTCACTACACCCCCGTCATCATATGACCCTGGCTGTTACGAGTAACATACAATAACAGGCTTAGGTATCTCACTACACACCCGTCATCATATGACCCTGGCTGTTACGAGGAACATACAATAACAGGCTAAGGGATCTCACTACACACCCGTCAGCATATGACCTGGCTGTTACGGGGAACATACAATAACAGGCTAAGGTATCTCACTCCACACCCGTCATCATATGACCTGGCTGTTACGAGTAACATACAATAACAGGCTAAGGTATCTCACTCCACACCCGTCATCATATGACCTGGCTGTTACGAGTAACATACAATAACAGGCTAAGGTATCTCACTACACACCCTTCAACATATGACCTGGCTGTTACGGGGAACATACAATAACAGGCTAAGGTCTCTCACTACACACCCGTCAGCATATGACCTGGCTGTCACGGGGAACATACAATAACAGGCTAAGGACTCTCACTACACACACGTCATCATATGACCTGGCTATTACGAGTAACAAAAAATAACAGGCTAAGGTATCTCACTACACAACCGTCGGCATATGACCTGGCAGTTACGGGGAACATACAATAACAGGCTAAGGTATCTCACTACACCCCCGTCAACATATGGCCCTGGCTGTTACGAGGAACATACAATAACAGGCTAAGTTCTCTAGCTACACACCCGCCATCATATGACCCTGGCTGTTACGAGGAACATACAATAACAGGCTAAGTTCTCTAGCTACACACCCGCCATCATATGACCCTGGCTGTTACGAGGAACATACAATAACAGGCTAAGGTTTCTCACTACACACCCGTCATCATATGACCTGGCTGTTACGAGGAACATACAATAACAGGCTTAGGTCTCTCACTACCCACCCGTCAACATATGACCTGGCTGTTACGAGTAACATACAATAACAGGCTAAGTTCTCTCACTACACACCCGTCAACATATGACCCTGGCTGTTACGAGGAACATACAATAACAGGCTTAGCTCTCTCACTACACACCCGTCAACATATGACCTGGCTGTTACGAGGAACATACAATAACAGGCTAAGCTCTCTAGCTACACACCCGCCATCATATGACCCTGGCTGTTACGAGGAACATACAATAACAGGCTAAGGTCTCTCACTACACACCCGTCATCATATGACCTGGTTGTTACGAGGAACATACAATAACAGGCTTAGGTCTCTCACTACACACCCGTCAACATATGACCTGGCTGTTACGAGTAACATACAATAACAGGCTAAGGTCTCTCACTACACACCCGTCAAAATATATATGACCCTGGCTGTTACGAGGAACATACAATAACAGGCTAAGGTATCTCACTACACACCCGTCAACATATGACCTGGCTGTTACGAGGAACATACAATAACAGGCTAAGGTATATCACTACACACCCGTCAGTATATGACCTGGCTGTTACGAGGAACATAAGGGATGTACCTTACAATGGTAGTTGTCATTTCAATATAAAACTGGTTATTGCGTGGCCAATGAAATGTGATGTTACGTTGCAAATAAAGAAGAATTACCAGTGGTGTTATATATGTCCATTCAAACACCTCATGTACTGTGTTAGTTGTGAACTTGTGTTAACTTCGGAATTTCGAACAGAATTGTTTCGGCTTTTAATGACAGCAGTTTTACAAATAGCTGTGATCGAACAAATATTTCCTTCGTTTAAATTTGCCTAACTTTATTAAACTCTTGAATTTGTAGTATGAAATTTACAAATACATCACCAAAAGTAATTAGATTTGAAGTACTACATCTAAATCGAACCCCATTCTTCAACGAAATAATGAAAATCAAATTTAAGTAAGCAACATCCTCTTAATATTTACTTTTAGTTTAAAGAAAAATTAGATTCCTTTGTTTTTTGTAGAATTACATCTCGTTAATTTTTTACACATAAATGATTGTGGTTAGTTAACTCAATGTTAGCGAAAAAGTGATAAACACAAACAGGGAATATGTCTATATATAAGGGCAAAGCGATACAAACAAACAGTGAATATTTCCATATGCATGGCAAAACCTAAAACGTCGCAGTTGGGGGTATGATAACGACGATGTCCAAAACTTGTATTCATCATGTGATGGTTTAATGAGAATTCATTAGATCAGAGAATGCCCTTTAACTTTTAGTGGTTCTCTGTATGCTGTGGCTGCACTTTTGCAACGGGTTTAGACGTTCCACCATTGTCCGTATCATTTAAGCTAATTCCTTTGGCTAAATGTTTGGTTGTGGTATTATCAGTTACTTGTTGACTGACACCTATAGAAGCACTTTGGTTTTGACCCTCTGCGGCAGATTCTGAACATGTCAATGAGGTACCATATGTGTATTCCTGTTCTGTCTTTATTATCCTGTCTGCTACAAAGCCATGTCCAGATTTTCGTAGATACTCGAGAAATATATCATAGGCATTGGGACCACGCTGAGGTAAAATGTCTAGCATCTTTCTACATCTTTCGCTTGGTGTTTCCTGTGCCTGTGAAAATGTAATTTTCAGTATTAGTATGTTGTACAACAAATATAACACGTAATTACAAGCAAGTATATAAGAATAAGTCAAAAATTACTTTCCTCGAGGTGAGTTCATTTTTGCAGATACAACATTAACAGCTTATGATGTCATAACATTAGGGCTTACAAAATTTGATGACGTGACACTAATAAAACACTGATGACATCACAGCTGTTGTACAAAATTGATGATACAGTACCACATATTATAATGTACATGTAAATACATATAGGTTACTAAAACGACTATAGAATGTAAATATTAATAAACATATGATTGAACAAAATTGAATTATGCAGTATTTCAATTTGAATTGATCATTGGTTTTAATTGTTTTTAACCTAGATCTCTCCTCTCTACACATTTTGCAAATAGGTAGGACCCAAATTGAATTACCTGTGTATTCCTGTATATGCCTACTCACAGGTAGTACTTGAGGATCATCTGTTCTGATCTACGTAATTCATTACCATTTATCAAATGCAAAACCCATGCCTGTTCATAACAACTACGTCCTTTTGTTTGCCATGTCTATACAATACAAAATTATTTCTTTGGGATAATTAATATACCAGTAAACCTTCTAAATGTTCAAGCCGCTTTCCAACTTGCCTGTATCAATAACTATAGTATCCAGGTGCGAGGCTATTTGGTGTGACTAGAAAAGAAGTCAAGCTAGTTACACTGACCGTAGGCTTGCTATATATGTAAACTGCAAATATGTATATGCAGATACATAAAGCAAATAAACTGTAAATATGAATCTGCAGATAAATATCCACCATTAAATTTCACACATATAACCAAAAAATCATAAACATATTTGCTCATATATCCATGGTATGGTTTATATCAGGAGTAAACTATTAACATCAATGGTTTTATCTGGTGTCCGAATCAGAAAACAATAATCTTAAATATAAAAAATAACATTAGTTTCAAATGTTCCGTATCATTTGATCTGATCATTTGTGATATTGGTGTATCGTAGGTGGACGCCACTTTTGTTCCTGTTTCAGTACCTTTGCAATGTTCGTTATATTTATCATTGAAATAAACGGTATTGCAATCTGATACAATTTTCAAGGCATCAGTTATAAAATTGTGATCTATCTAGAATATATGATCCTGTATTGATATAATCTAAACCTATACTATAACTACAGCGATAGCTACGTCGTACTGTATGTTTTCACCTCTGCAGTTTCGGAGAAGGAATAGCTATAACCATCTCCATATTTTAAGCAGGTTTATTTCAGTGCCTTCTGATGAGGGGACATAAAAGAAACAAAAACTGATCTGCTGCCATCAATGCGAGACTCGAGGATATAAATATTTTCTTTTCTTACTTCACTACCCGTTTTGTTCGTTAGTGTTTCCTCGTACACCGGTCTTCATATAACCTTAGCTGTTGTACGAACGTTAATCGTGTAATAAACAAATAAATGAGACCTACAGACTTCCTACATCAATTATGCTAGTTTAATTACAAGTGATAACGATACGCAACAAGATAGTGGACGTTGCTGGTGGACGATCAGTTCTAGAGGTTGGCTGTAACCTTAAAGAAGGATTCTCTTCTTGCACATTTAAATGAAATACTAGTTTAGGTAGTTATTTGTGGTAGTCGAATGCTGTTAATTTGTAACGTTATATAGGGTTTCATATGTACCTTTTCATTTTCTAGGTATTTTTCAAATTTTTAGAAACACTTTAAACATCTATATCTTTCATTTACGCACCACTTATGAGTCATATATAGATATGCCAGTAAAATGTTTACTTTGTTTGACTCTCTGCATCTTCAAACAAGATTTTTGAAATCGATACTTCATATCTTTGCATTTTATTGATTATATTTTAAACCCCGGCTACCTAAAATCTTTAACCAACATGAACTTTAAATCGTGTTAAATTGATGAACATGGTCGGGATATCTATTGGATAGTATTGTATTAAAGAAAACACTGGATTCCCAATAATATACTTTCCCTTTTCTTCTCATGGATCAATATTACGCTTGACATCAAATTTTACAGGGCATTTCAACACATAACTACAATGGCTATTAATTTGTCAAGATTAGAGTCATACTCCCAGAAAAAGGGGAAAAAAAGAAGAATTTTAATGAGTGTCTGTGAACTTTGCCTGGCTAATAAATTAATCTAAGATCTGTACAAGTAGGTGATAACATTTCTAGGGTCGGCAGCAGAAACACATATTTTTGTTTTGACCAAGCAATTTGACCTCTTTAAAACAAAGTGATGAAGTACCTTTATTCGTTCAATCATTTGTTTGGTGAAAACTCTTTCATCAGAAATCTGATCCTGAATTTCTTCGTCTGGTTTGATATTTTTAACAAGAAACGACCGGAGGTTCCGGAGAATCTTGTCGTGTATCTCATCCATTTGGTGTTTTGCACGTCCTTCTGAATTTCATGCTGAAAACATAAATTCTAGTGTTACATACTTAATCAGAATGAAGTTTGATTTTCTTAAAGTTTGATTGAATTGTCTTTCGTTTTACCTGTTTACCTGCGCCCAGTTGTTCAAAGGGTGATTACCTTAATCAGTGATTAGCACAAATTTTATTTTTTGTAAATCTTCAAAACAAAACCATTGAATATAGCAAATATTTAGTAGAGTGAATTTACATGCAATATTGAGTATACCTGGTATATTTTTAAAGGTTGAAAAATGTCGTTAAACAGTGATTAAGCTAATCACCTTTTGAACAATTGGGTCCTGGTCACTGTCACCCCATGACATATTAAACACAGTAAACAAACAATACCATGACGTAAAGGGAATAATCAGATGACGTCATAATCAGCACTTCACGGGAAAGTAATGTGTAAATCAAGGTAACAAACGGATTGTAAATCATGCTGAAAAGTATTGCTTTTAAAATGGTATTAGAATGATGGGAGAAAAACAATCATCCCCTACCATCACTTTCACAGAAAAATCTCCAACTCTCGGGGTGAGTATTAGGTTGTCTTACCCTCGCCTGATCCTCGGGTTAGACAACCAAATAAATTACCCCTTTGGGTTGGATATTTCTGTCAGGGTAAAGAAAGGTTATATTAAGCAAGCATTGACGAGGCGACATATGTTCAGCTCATTGGAGTTTTAAAGGCATTGATTTGTTATCGACCTGACTAAAACGCCGGAAAAAACCCCAAAACAAAATCACATGCTGTCATACTGTTCTACAAGTACATTACTGTTGCATTGTTTTTGTGGTTTGACCAATGTTAACGGTGTATTGATTGAGAATGATCTAGATTGTACTTAGGTGTCATGGTAGAAAGAACTGAGCATTTGTTCCTACTATACGGTTTAATATTCGCGTTAATGTGTGTTCAAGAATTTTTGTGGAAAAGCAAATGCGTGAATTTATCATGAAAATTATCGTTTATAATGAATTCACAAGACAAACCATACATTTCTAAACGTTCATCTGAAAACGGATCATACGTGTGTTTTAGCTTTCCTGATACAAAGTATCTTTGCCTGTGACATCACGCCCACTGTCAACTCTTTTCATTAAACAACTTCACATTAAACATTGTATTTTGTATGGAGTGCTGAGATGAGGGCTATAATGTTTCAACAATTGAATAAAGGGTCAATGCATAACAAATTCTAGCAGGAACAACAAGGTCTGGAGTATTGGTTGATGTAGTTGCCTGTATCTAGTCGAGATGCAGCGCTGTATGCTTTGTTCTAATAAACAACGTCTGCCCTACGTTTATGCGTTAGCTCATTTGAAATGCTTAGTGAAGTCTACGACATGAATGCTTGCTCAAGTCTGCACCAACAACACACACACATATTAATAATGCCTAATGTGTGATACTTAATACTTAACTCAGCCCTTTTGATATAACAACATGAACATATATATTTCTTTTCTTGCCAGTCTATTGAAGAGACTGTTCATGTGATGTTTATGTTTAATACTGCTAAAACGAAAGTAGAGACATTATATTTCTTTGTGATATAACAATAATAATAATTCGAGGCTTTATCACAATCTAGTTCGTAGGCTGTCTCAAAGCGATTCACAAATTATTATCCGTGGTTATAGGGCCTTTGTAACCAGTCAATATCTTTCTCACATACAGCCGGTGCTGCCATTTTGGCGCTCACAGCTAGCATTCTACAATTCTAGCACTGCCCAACCACGTACTCATGTACAGCTGAGTAGACTGGATAATCAACTGAGTAGAAACATTCTTCGTAAGTTAAATAGATTGATTCGAATGTAGGTACTTGCTCATAGTCTCAATTATTCAATATAATAAATCACAAGCATATTTACATTTATACACTTTTGTTGATATGAGTTCTTTGCAGGTGATGGACATACTCCCTCTGTCAATACTTACCTGGTGATGATCTACGTCTTGAAATGGTTAATATTCATTATTTGAACACAAGAAACATTTGTGGAAGGTGTGTCTTGATTTTTCATTCAACAAATAAGTTAAGCTTTTAAAGCTCTTTTTCACTAAAATTGGGTTTTCCCAATTGATGTTAAAATAGACTTGCATTATAACCTAAACGGAAGCCGTTGGGGAGCATTTAATCTATTTCGACTTATAATAAATTGGAACGGTTGTACATAAGCAATGTTACCTTCGGAATTGAAAGCCTGTTTTTGCTTGGAAATTAAAGCAATGTTTAATACTTTCTTCCACAAGTTACGGGGGAGGTAATATTCTTAATTCAACACGGCAGGAATCGCTTAAGCTGGGAGCAGTTCTTATTTCAAATATACCAGATAACATGTTTTGATGAGGATGAACAAATGATTGGTCATTTTCTTGTTTGAATTTATTACATGTCCGTATTTCCTCTCAATATACACTAGAGTCTGGCCTTTTGTACGTGTAATTGTGCTGAGGAAGAGCTTCTGATAATGTGATTCATATACCACATCTGTGGCTTCTACTGTAGACGCCATTTTCGCTTTACAATCTTTAATTAATCGTTCTTTAAAAAAGAAAAAAAGTCTCTATTGTTGTTTCATAGATTATACAAAAGCGTTTGATTTTAATAATAGACAGAATGTATGGTATAAAATGATCAAAGAAGGTGTAGAAGGTAAACATCTGAAAGTGATCAGATCAATTTATAAAAGTGTGAAATGTTGTGTTAAATATAATGGTACTCTCTTCGATTTTTTAAAATATTGAAAACGGATTATTTCAGGGGGAAATATGATCACCCCTTTTGTTTGCTATATATGTAAATGATTGTGAAATGCAGTTTTTTTCAGATATTTGTCAATCTATTGAAATACTGGATATCAATATGTTTTTACTTATATATGCAGATGATATGTTGATTATATCTGAAACACCAGTGGGTTTGCAAACAATGTTAGACTCTCTTGCAAATTATACCAAAAAATTGGATTTTACCGTAAATACTGGGAAAACAAAAAGTGTCGTGTTTAGAAATGGAGGGATATTAAGGGGAAATGAATTATGGTTTTACTAAGGAAAAAATTGGAAGTTGTCGATCAATTTAATTACCTTGGTGTACTAATGAATTTTAACGGAAAATTTAGACAAACTCAAAAGCAAGTTGCTGACCAGGGGAGAAAAGCTTTGTATGCATTATTAAATGTTTGTAAGAAAAAATGTTTTAATATAGGAATTCAATTGTCTGTTTTTGATACCTATGTAAATAGTGTTTTAAGTTATGGAGCAGAAGTATGGGGCTTCCATGCCGCATCAGATATCGAAAAATTGCATGTGAGATTCTGCAAACAAATATTAAGATTACACAAAAAAAACTAGTAATGTTATGGTGTATTATGAACTTGGAAGATATCCCATGAAAATAGTTAGAAAATTACGAACATTCAAATATTGGATAAAACTGAGATATGTAGGAAATTGTATTCTAAGGTCATGCTATGATGATATGCTTTGTAATGATGACATTTGGTTAATGAGTGAAAAACAAGAATTATACAGAATTGGTCGTGGAAATGTGTGGGAATCCTCCAGTTAAAATAATAACACTTTTTATATTATAAAAGAACGTCTTTGTGACATATTCAGACAAGAATGTTTTGAAAAAAAGCAATCTTCTCCTAAAGGAGCATTGTATCAATATGTGTGTAATTTTCGTCACCAGTATTATTGATCAAAACCTGTAAATATAAATTATTTAAAACAAATATGTCACATTTGAATGTCTGCACATATTTTAAATATTAAGTGTGGCAGATATAATAGAACTGATAGACAAAACAGATTGTGTACAGTATGTGACCTGAATGATGTCGAGGATGAGTTCCATTTCATTTTAAAATGTTCTTGCTATATTGATATAAGGTTGAAACTAATTAAGAAATATTATGTAAGACATACAAGCATGTATAAATTAAAGTATAAACTACTTACTTGTGAGAATGTATCCGACATTCGAAATCTTGGCAAATTTTTAATACAAGCAAACAAGAGGAGATCTGAGCTGATTGCTGGTTAGTGTTCACTCTCCACGGTGTATGTGTGTGCGTGAATGGGTGTGTGTATCATATTGTATGTTGTCTCTGTGTTGTTTTGTATATGTTATAACTGATAAGACAACCGACTTAAAGTAATAAAGAACTTGAACATATCCTAATGTCAGGAAGTGTATACTTATTGTTCTTGAATACGCGTGGGTTTTTTTAATCATTCTTAACATTTTTGAATTCTAATATATAAGATAAAGGTTTTACACAAATAAGGTGATTGTACTTTTAATATTTGGAAATAGATACAGTATTCCAAAAATACTGCATCATACAGCTGTTTCGTCTTTCTAGGAACTATCGTTGAAGCTAAGAGCCAAAAAGTTTGAAATCCAAAATGCTCTAAACATCTGTTGAAACAGCGGGAATCAAGGTGAATAAAACAGAGGGAATCAAGGTGAGTAAAACAGAGGGAATCAAGGTGAATATAAAACGCATTAATTAGGTGAACTGTTAAATATCAAATTAAATTCTGATTGCTCAAACGTTACTAGTTTCGTATCTGCGAAGTTCGAGATCAAATTAACATCTTTTCATCACTCTACTCTTGATGAATTCTTGTTGGTAGATTTTAATTCATTTTAGGAAGAATATGTACCTCTTGGTTCAGACATATTGTTTAAGTGTACGCATATATGTAACACAGTTAATCGGTTGTCACGACAGAAGGTCAATAATTGGAATTTTGGAAATCCTTTATCCCAGCCTGCAACTGACCATCCTCGACATCCAGGGATTACACTCACTTTCCCACCCCTGGAATATGTCATAGCAAAATTGAAGGCTAAGTGTGGGCCACCTTTCTAGTACGATCCTTTGAAATACATCAAAAGAATCTCGCGGTCATGTAACGGTAAAAATTAGTCGGACGTCTCTCCTTTGTAATCTTCAAAGGACAGGTATCAGCCTAGCGATTGGTATTGTATTTTTACCCAAGACCAATCAAACAGCTTTCCTCATGCCTTCAATTTTGCTATGACATATTCCAGGGGTGTAGAGAGCGAAAGTGAGCGTAACCCCTGGATATCGAGGATGGCTACTGGTAAAATAGCATCAATCTATGCATATCGGTCATTCAGAAGCATCTGTTTAATGTTCAAAGTTGATACAGGATGGAAGACAGACGCTATATCATCGTCTTATCTCACTTTGTCCTTCCGGTCAGGTGAGTTACCAACCATAAGGTGATTACAACAGGCAAGTTTTCAATATTTATACGCGTACGGAACAACACTAGGTAGAGATTGGTAAATTTCGCCAAAAATCAGAAACGACTTTCAATAAATAACAAATACATGTTTATGACAAATGGATACATGTTTATGACAAATGGAACATGCTCTTTATTTTCATAGTTTAATTCTTGCTCTCATACATGCTTAATAATGCTCAGGAAATCTCACCCGGTACAATAATACATATTATAATTTATGTATCTGTATGTCATGTCAGCTACATGTCTTAAGTGATTTTTTTCCAGACTAAATCAAACATTTTTATCTGATGATATAACGCTTGATATAAGACCCATGTGGGCTTACATCCGGGCCAACAAGTGTTTAATATACTTGTACACATTGTTTTCAAAATTGTCGTAAAATAAATAAAGTTTATTTATATATTTGTGATATTACTAAAAGAATACAAAGTTCTTTAACGTGATCATATACTGTTTAAACCTCATTCGTGTAGTCAAGTCAGTGTACATGTTAAAAGCTTAACCGTGGTGGATGTAGGGTTTTGTCTTATAATTAGGCATTTTTAAAGATTTTAAGCACAGTATTAACTTTTAACATAATTTCATATTAAAAACATCAGCAAGAAAACATCCTCGTGCCAAAAGCTTTCAACAGCTACACAAAAGGTCGGGAAATTCTACTACTATTTAAAATTCAGATCAAATCTTCTGTTTGCAGTTCCGTCTTTGCGTATTGCAGAGTTATCTTCTCTTGTGAGCAGTTATTGATTGTTACGTCATTGGTTTGTGTGAGAAAAATACGTCGTTTCTCAAAAATTGATGACGTTACTCTCACAAACAAATGACTTAACAATCAATACCTGCTCACAGGAGAAGATAACTCTGCAATACGTGGAAATTATATATTACACATAAGTTTCCCAAATCAAAGTAATGTAGTGTGAAATGGCAATTACAACTGTGTAGAGATTATTTGCAAGGTGTTTATCTAAAATTCAAAATAGTCGTCATTAGGATCAGTTATATCAACAGATGTAATTCAATTGTAAATATTCTTTAAAACGCTTATAAAAGTCCTATCTAAAAGCCGGTAAGTAAAAGCCGACGCATCTCAAATATGACGTTGTGGACTGACAAGAGTTGATCATTAATAAAATACAATAAAAAGGTCAGAGAAATTTGAAATGAATTTCTATAGTACTAACATCCGACTGTCGATCTACAATTACAAACACATAAAGAATTAGAGGACAAAGAGGTGTAAAATCCGTAAATTCGAACTTAAAATTTACGAGACAAGGGCAAAATGTGAATAAAGTAAAAATACAAACACTGAAACCAATGAAAACCTACAACCAGAATAACAGCAGGTGTTCCGCAGGAAAAAGTCTTCTGTTTTATTGATTACACTCCCCATGCACTGTCTGGGGTTCTGTTTTACTGATATGGGTCACAGTGACCCATATCAGTATAAAGCATATGTATCTTTAAGACATTTCAAACCTCTTTGCTTCGTGTAAATCGAAGTCAAATCCAAGCAACGCGATATTCTCAAAGGAACCGGGATAATCACAACAAAAACATGGCACAATAATGAGCGTGATAAAAATCGTCAATGTTAAAAGCATATCATATTTACCAACATGATCACAGTACATAGGAACAAATTATATATATTACACAGTAATAATAATGTAACAATGGATAATTTACATAGCTTTCTACATACGATCGCAAATTAAGAAAGATATTTCACCTGTAGTTATTAGTGTAATAATGCAATAATAGGATATATGGGAAAATAACCACCTAATTAAATTACATATATGTACAGAGTTAACAATACATTACGTTATGGATATGATACAAATACAATTATTTCCATATACAGATAACTTTCCGACTTTCTAAACTTCTAACAAAGACTTCCACATTTACAATCATGATGCATACTTAAAATAAAAAATATAGTTACTCCAACTACGGGTTGAGTGCCACAAACTTCCCTTTATTGAACTATTCCAAATCATGAAGCAGTGTAGTGTATTATCTATCTTTGCTGTTAGATGACAGAAAACTCTATCAGCAGATTGAATTTACAAACAATGAACTTTTACAAAAGCGAATAATCTGGTTTCATCCATATTCAAACAGACATGTACTTTTATAATGCCCCATCTATTCAGACAATTTGCAGTACTAAATCTAAAAATGCTTTCTTAGATTTGATCAGGTCTTTGTTATTTTGGGTGTGTCAAATTCATCATTGCTCAAAATCCTTGATTCAATTCTAAATTGAACATATTACATAAAGCTAATTGGAGAAAGAATACTACTGCTTCCACATATAATAAATATGCAGAGCAAATTGATGAAGCTTGGTTATTAAAGTCAAAAGGTGATGATATTTCCTACCCATTTAAATCGATTTCGGTGTTATTAACAAATAAAAACTTTTAATTCTCTTTCATATAATTAATTTCAGAAATGTTTAAAATAATAAAATATTACAATTTTATATCCATTAGCATTCAATTAGTTACATTGTATCAATGCTATAATATTGCATTTAATTTCAGAGCGAGGAGACGGTCGACTAGTCACAAAAACCCGACTCATGTCCAATTTATAAAGGAGATAACCAGCTGGAAATATCATCATCCTCATATACAGGACCCAGGTGAGGTCCTACCTTCCAGGATAGGTACCCACCTGCTCGTTAGAACAGTTTTTGGCATCCTACATCAGATGAACAGAGGAAATACTAACAACGTGTCTTTTCCATGACGTTTGACTGTACTAATTCACATTTGCCACTTCAGGGCAAAATTCACAAATATGCTTCATCTTGAAAATAATGTCATATTTGTGCACTTTTGGGTTAAGTTAATGAGAATGATGACAGACGAATTGTTGTTTTTATTACCATTTACAGTATCCGGGCTGGTCTAGTGGTTTAGTGACCTGAAGGAAGAAGAAGAATGCAGTCCCGAGTTTATGAGTACAAACCTTTCTAATAAATCAGATCCACCATCTTGCATTGAGGTGTTGTGGACCAATTTACAGTGAAGAAGAGGTTTTGTGTGTTAAGCAAACTTTCAACAAACAGCATCTCAGAATGGAAAATGGAGAGTGAAACAGAGTGAAAGAAAAAGCATTTTCCTTGGGAAGAGAAATTAATACAAACTTCAGTTCAGAACTGGTAAATAAAATTATTTGCTTCATCTTGTGCTCAAAAATCAACATTGCTGAAAATTGCAAGGTAGCAACAGAGTTATAAGTTCTCCCACTAATTATTTTGAAAATAAACAAGCTATTAGAATCAGAATAACTGTGGTTTATGCACTGTTTCGATGAAAACGTAAAAAAGTTGTTACAAGCAATGACCTGCATTAGAATACTATACCGTTCTACATTTTAGAACGCCATGTTATGCATTGAAGATCTGAGAACTGGACAGATCTGGTGTAATGCACACGTGAGTTTGGATCACTAGTAACCGTGTAAATATATTGAATTATCATTCCTTGGAAAACTTTTGTAATAAGCTTTAAAAATGCATTTTGTAAGTGTTTGAGGATACACATTTGTAATTAGCCACGTGCACACATTTTGTAAGTATCCTTGGACTTGCAACCTTGGACATACATTTTGTTAGCATTTGTAGACACACATTTGTAATACGCCTCGGGCATATATTATAAGTGTCCATGGACAAACAATACATAATCTTTTTAAATCATAGACCAACATTTTGCAAAAGTCTGTAGCTTGTACACACATTTTTCTAGTAACTGTGAGAACCTTTTCGTAATTAGCCTTTCACATTTTAAAATCATAAACACACCTATTGTAAGAGTCCTTGTACACACATTTGGAAAGGATCTGAGGACAGTTATATATACATATTGCTATTGGTGGGTAGGCATAGCGAGCATTGCTAAAGTGATCTATTGAGTGACGTCATACATAATGTACTTTATGGCGTCATGATTTCTCCTTTATAAGGTCTGAAGGATCTCGTTGAAGAGATGAAAGTTCTTGGGGCATGTTGTTAAGATATTTTCTTTCCATATTTTGTCTTCGTTTGTAAGGATAATTTTACTACTGTTATATATATATATAGTACTCATCCTGCGATACACATCTTGTTAATGTGTTCTTTTTTTTGACTCGCGTGTAATTTTCTTAGACATACATGTTATAATGAGCTGATGGTGCATACATGAACAGTTGTAGTGCCAGCCAATCATGTCTGTTTACCTCTATTGTATCACAGACAACAGCAGTGTGAGAGGTTGACAAACACCTGTCAATCGTAACCTGTATCAATAAAACTGTATGCAAGTACAGTTTATACACCTGTTGATGGGTTGAAGTACCAGTCCTTTGTCAGTGTATTACATGGAGCAGGCACCTGTACCTCCATAGACAGGGGATCACACATACTGGCCACACGGCAATTTACCTGGAAAACACAACAAGCCATGCTAAAACTGGAATGAAATTATGGCATATGCAAATCTTTTTTCTTAAAATCAAGTGTTTGAATGTCTATCAGAATGTTGCCTTACACATGATTTTTTTTCTTATTTCCTGCATAAGTTTCCCTAAATAGATCACCAAACTCCTTTATAACACTACGATTTCTCTGGAGAAATGGTGGCAGTATAATTACACTGTATATAACACTATATGGCTTTCGACGGGCGTATATTGTTCCGCCCGCTGTACCCTTGTTTCTATTTATCTGCCAGGTATTATCTATATAATTTATAAATAAATATTCGCATATGGATACTTTTGTGCTAATTTAGTCAACATGAAAAGTTTGTACACCGCATAAATTAAAATTTCTACTTTTACAGTATATGCTTGATTTTCTGTTCTCATTTCAGTGACTTACTCAGGAAGAATGACGATAATACAAAAAACTGAAAAAAAATAACAAGATTATTTGGTGTCTTTGACAAACATTCTTATTAGTATGATAGCAGTGATTTTCTACAGTTATTGAATGGCTAGATGTACAGACCTGTGTCATCATCGCATGAATATCACATGATGCCGCCTTTTCACGGAAAACCTCCACAAGTTTACGAATGTACCAACTTCCCTCCTCTCTGTTTCTGTAGGACACATGACCTGTAATATGATATTTCAGTTAGCTTTGTAACGGCAGCTCAAAGGTCAAATGAGCTATGGCTTCAGTAATTTCAACTTAGTATGAAATAAATTCTTTAAGTGTTTGTATACTTGTAAGAAAGGAATATATTGCTAACGTGTTGATTTTAGTGGTGCATCATTTTGGTACTTTTCATAGTGATTCTGATCTCGTGTAATGATGTACTTTTGTATGTAGAGGATCAAGTTTCATCAAATAGAGCCACAGCCTGTATTCCTGGAATCTTTCTCATGCTGCAAACGTGTTCCAATGATAAACTAGCAAGAACATTTCACATTTCATCAATAAAATGGAAGAGTGTTGGAGACTTAAGGTGCTGAATACTGTTTCCAATGTTTACACTTGACTTTATGAGCACGTTACATAATTGATAGGTGAGATATAAGAAAGTTGGTTTGACCACAGAATTCAGGCTTTAGCATGAGAACATTTTCATGAATAAGGGCCACAGCCTATCTGTATAAGGAGGAAATAAGCAGACTTAGGTTGTTATCATTCTGTAATAAATAGGTATACCTCCTTTCAAAAAGAATAACACACTAAGATCCCTGTCTACAACAATATTAATCTTAATCGAAAAGAAAACACTTGACAAAAGATTAAATTTCTTTTGTTTTTAAGATGAAATGTAATGCTGCCCTAAGTAAAACTTCTAAAAAAGGACCACTGAAGGTCACTGAAGGTCACTGAAGAATTATTCTTAAGAACTGGAGTATTCTCCCTTCAATAAACATGATGAAGCAACTTAAAGGATGATCAAACATCTGACTGGGTGGACATTTCCAAGCATAAAGTATCTGGCTGAATTAATCCATTGTTGGGTAAAGAGCTTGCTAATTTCATTACATTCTCCTTTTACCAATCACACAAATACCTTTTATTTTCATATTTATGTACAGTAAAACCTCAATATTACACCCCTCATTTCATTTGCTTCCTCACTTACGGCCATCAGTCCCTTTTTCTCTTTTTCAAAAGTATTCCTTTATACATTTCAAATATAGATGATTTAAATCTGGACGTTGTCATTGATGTACATTTACTGCTCATAGGAAATAAAAATCTGTCGGTAGAAGTAAACACTTCAATTTTTAAGTTAATGTGATATAACATTAGCTCATCATATTTATATCTGTTGTATTATTTCATTTATTGTATGAAAAATTGTTATTTATTGTGATCAAATTATGCTATTTCTCAGTTTATGTAAAAATAATTGTGGAGAGGGCTTTTGTAATGTTGATATAACTTGTGCCTAATCCGTTTGCTTCATTTATGCAATAAAATATGTTTAAATAAAAAAAATACATTTCCCCCAATTTATTGCCAAACCCCTTAATAACACTAAAATTTCTCTGGGGAAATGGTGGCAATATAGCGAAACTTTACTGTATGTTTCAATCTCAATTCTAAATAGTTACAGTTTCATTTAAGATAGACCTTTAATTAAACAAGAAAATCTACCATGGAAAGTGGAATAGGCAAGGTACAAATCCTGAAAGCTTGGAACTAGTACTGGTGACGTGTCATCTGGAGGATGTGCACAGAGTGGGTCAGTATCAGTCTTCACTGCATCAAAAGGTAAAGTTCCTCCTATGGTACCAACAGCCGGGTAGCCAACATCCCTCTGATCTGTTGAACAAGGGAGACAATTAAAAAACAAGAGGCCCATGGGCCTTAACGGTCACCTGAGTCCTACAGTATTTATTTTTGTTGTTGAAATATGTACCAATTTGAATAAAAAATAGTTAAGTATAATGTTAATTTAACTTTGTCAGGACCATGAGCTGATCATGCCTAGACCGATTTTCAGTGAGATCGGCCTATTAGAACTTGTTTTTAAGTTTGAAATAGGTATTTACAAAATAGCGGCCATTGCAGCCAAATTGTATTTCTGATTGACCCGAAAATTAACAACACTTTGTCAGGACCATGATTCGATCATTCCTACAAAGTTTCAGTTCAATCGGCCTATTAGAACTTGACTTTAAGTTTGAAATAGTTTTTCAAAATGGCGGCCATGGCGGCCATATTGGATTTCTGATTGACCCAAAAAAAATAACAACACTTTGTCAGGACCATGAGTCGATCATTCCTACCAACTTTCAGTTCAATCGCCCCAGCAGAACTTGACTTTAAGTTTGAAATAGGTATTTTCAAAATGGCAGCCATGGCGGCCATATTGGATTTCTGATCGACCCGAAAAATAACAACACTTTGTCAGGACCATGAGTCGATCATTCCTACCAAC